TTCTGACCTCTGGACCCAGACGCCGCCCTTCTAAGAGCAGGCGCCCTGTGAGCTGGGAATTCCCACCGCCCCTGCCCATTACAGCTACCACGGCAGGCCAGGATGGGCCTCTGGGCGGGGCTGGGTGTTTGGATCCTGGGTGAACCTGGGCAGCCCCGTCCCAGCGAGTGCCCCGCGGGCTGGGCAGGGCCCCTTCCATGAGCAGCGCCAGGACCCCTGCTTGTGGCAGGTGGGCCCCGCACCAGGTACCCGACTTTGCATAAATGTGAGATAGGCCACAGGAGGCAGCAACTCAACGTGCAGGGCCGTGTTTAAGAGAAAGCATCTCACTGGGCCTTTCTTTCTTTCTTTCTTTTTTAGACAGTCTTGCTCCATCGCCCAGGCTGGAGTGCAGTGGCATGATCTCAGCTCACTGCAACCTTCGCCTCCCGGGTTCAAGTGATTCTCTTGCCTCAGCCTCCCGAGTAGCTGGGATTACACGTACCTGCCACCACACGCTGCTAATTTTTTTTTTTTTTTTGAGACGGAGTCTTGCTCTGTCACCCAGGCTGGAGTGCAGTGGCCGGATCTCAGCTCACTGCAAGCTCCTCCTCTTGGGTTCACGCCATTCTCCTGCCTCAGCCTCCCGAGTAGCTGGGACTACAGGCACCCGCCACCTCGCCCGGCTAGTTTTTTGTATTTTTTAGTAGAGACGGGGTTTCACCGTGTTAGCCAGGATGGTCTTGATCTCCTGACCTCGTGATCCGCCCGTCTCGGCCTCCCAAAGTGCTGGGATTACAGGCTTGAGCCACCGTGCCCAGCCTAATTTTTTAATTTTATTCATTTTTTATTTTTAATAGAGACGGAGTTTCACCCTGTTGGCCAGGCTGGTCTCGAACTCCCGACCTCAGGTGATCCGCCCGCCTCGGCCTCCCCAAGTGCTGGGATTACAGGCGTGAGCCACCGTGCGCGGCCTGGCCTTTCTTAAAATCATCACCAGAGTCGACGTGCAAGGGGCCCTCCAGGCCAGAGCTGTGTTATCGCAAGAACAAGGAGCTCCGCGGATCGCAGGCCCCTCCTTTCCGGGTACCGACCCCAAAGGGAAGGTCCCTTCTCCCGGGATGCCCGAGGCGCGGGCGCCGGGGTCCTGCCAGCACCGCCCGGACGGGCACGGCTCGCCCGCACACCTGCGGCTCCACAGGCGGCCGATCCGTGCGGTTGCCAGCAGTGGAGACCCGGGCCCAGCGGTTCCTCCAGCGCCCCCGGCGGCGTCCCAGGGCGGGTGTGGGCGGCCGGGCAGGGGCTGGGGGTCGCTGGCAGCCCGGGTCCCGCCGCCCTGTGGAGCCGCCTCCGGCTGCAGCCTCTCCAGGGCCTGGCGGGGGCGCAGCGATGGGGCGTCGGGGCCACCCGCGTCCCCGCCCCGCCCTGTCCCGCCCTCGGGCAGCGAAGGCCCCTCCTCCCCCCGCCCGGCCGCCCCTTCCCTCCGGCCCGGGGAGAGGCCCTGCGCCCCCGGAGGTCCAAGCCAGCCGGGGCGTCTTCCACGCGGGCCGGAGCTGGACCCGAACCGCTCGCAGATGCGGGGCCTGGCGGGCCGTGCGGTGCCGGGGTCGTCTCGGGAGCGGGGGTCCCAGCACCGAGCTCGGGCGCAGAGAGGGACCCCCCACCCCGCCCAGGCCGGCTCCGCCCCAGAGGAGGCCGCGGGGAGGTGGCCCCAGGTCGCGGGCCCGAGGGCTCGGACACTGAGACGCGGAGCCACAGGGGCGGGCGCGGCCCCAGCCCCGCGGGGAGGAGCCCCGAACCCCCGAAGCCCCGCGCCGTCCCTGGGGCTGGAGTCCCCCTTCCCGGGGGCCCGAGGGACGGAGCCGCCGCCGCCGCCTTCCCAGGACTCGAGGTCACCCCCGCTGGCCGAGCGGCTTCCAGGGTGCGGGTCCGGGAGGCGCTCACCTGGTCCCGAGGACGCTCCGGTCCCGACGGCCCGAGGCGCGGGCGCCGAGTAAGCAGGAGGGAGGAGACCGCGGCCGGAGCCGCCCCCTTTATACCCCGCCCCGCCCGCCCGCCCGCCCGGACCCGCCACCAGGAAGCGCTGCGGCCCCGCGGATGGGAGGAGGGGGCGGGGGGGGAACGGGAAGGGGATGGAAGGGAAGGGGGGACCCTCGAGGGCGGGAGGCAGGAGGAGGAGGTGGCGAGGATGGAGACCCCCCTGCAGCCCGGGCCGAGTTCCCCGCCATCCCCCGCCCGCCGCTGCTCGGACTTCACGTCCCGGGCCGGCCGCCCGTCGCCCCCGCCCATTTCCCAGGGTCGACCTGGTCGGGGCTGTGTCCGCCTCCGGGGCCCTGGGTGTTGGGGACCGCGCCCCGCACGCAGGGCCGACGGGGGCCCTGGGACTCGCCCCTCGGTAGGAGCCGCCCTGGGGGGTGCAGGGTTCCCCCCATCAGTCCCCCAACCCTCCCGTACCCCGTGTCACGTGTCCCGCTTACTCTGGCCTCCTGCGAGAGGAGAGGCCCCGGGTCAGGAGCTTCTGGAGAAACTGCTGCTCCTGGGGCCTGAGGGTGGGGAGCCGGGATGGCAGGGACAGCAGAGCCTGGGCATGCGGCGAGCCACCCCTGCCACCCCTTTACCGTTGGAAACCACAGGTGGGCTTGGTGCTGGGCCCTGGGACCACCGTGAGGTCCCTACCTGAGCCCAGCCTGGGACAGAGTGACAGGGGTCCCCACTCCCCACCCTAGTCACAGCCCTCCAGCCAGGGCTGGGGTTCCTCCTTGAGGTGACACGCAGGCGGGGTTGGGGAGAGGTCCCTGGGATCCAGGACAGGGCCCTCTTCAGAGCTGTCCTGGAAGGGGGTGGAGCAGCTGGGGGCAAGTCCCCTCTTCGGATGAGCAGGTTTGCAGATGGCTGCGTTAGCCCCTTCTCCGGAGGAGAGGGTCCCTGAGCTGCCTGGTGGCCCTTGCCCCAGGAGGCCGCCCCCTGTGTGGGCATCCTTCGGTCTTCAGGGCCTTCTCTCTCTGCCCCCTGAGGCCAGGCCCTCTCTCTGCATCTTCACCCCCTCTCCTGGTGGATGGTAGGGTGGCCAGGGCAGGGGTCTGTGGCGGTGTCTTGTGTTCCCAGTGTGCCCAGGTGGTGGAACTTCCTAGTGTAAGGAAGGGAAAGCCGCCATGGCAGCTGTCCACTGGGATGCCTGGGAACTTGTCCCCAAATGCCCCTGCCTGCTGTCCACAGGGCCTGCAAGGTCCACCCTGGCCTCAGCCTGGGAGCCAATGGCCTCCCGTCTGTCCTGGTTTCTGGACTCTGGCTGGACCACCTCACAGCTCGTGCCAGCTGTGCCTGCCCCTCCTTTTACGGCCAACCCCTCCATAGCAGCGTCAGCCACTTCTGTCCTCTGCCACCTCCCGCGGGCCCTTGAGTGGGTGGTGGTGCCTGCAGCCAGGGTGTTAAAGGAGAGGTGGTGTGAGTGTGCAAGTGACTGTGTGTCCTCTGTGAGTGTGAGTGGTGTGTGTCTGCAACTGAGTGGGTGTGAGTGGGTGGTGTGTGCATCTGTGAGTATGTATTGTGTGTCCTTGTCCTAGACTGAGTGTGAGTGTGTGATGTGTGCATCTATGTGTGGCGTGTGTCTGTGTCTGAGATTGAGTGTGTGGTGTGTGTCTGCATCTGAGGCTGAGTGTGAGTGTGTGGTGTGTGCGTCTGAGACTGAGTGTGAGTGTGTGGTGTGTGCATCTGTGTGTGGTATGTGTCTGTGTCTGAGACTGTGAGTGTGTGGTGTGTGTGTCTGAGACTGAGTGTGAGTGTGTGGTGTGTGCATCTGTGTGTAGTGTGTGTCTGCAGCTGAGGCTGAGTGTGTGTGTGTCTAAGTGTGCCTGAGTGTGAGTGTGTGTGTCTAAGTGTGCCTGACTGTGGCAGCCACATGGTGGCCGTGAGTTCAGGCCTCTTGCCTGCTGCACCTGAGCTCAGCTGACTGTGGGCACCGTGTGCCACTCCCCTGGGTCCACGCTGAGCTCTCACCTGGGCAACTCCTCCTGCTTCCAAGCCAGCAGCTCCCTGGGAGAAGCCAGGCCCCTCCTCACAAGACCAGAATCCTTTAGGGGTTACCTTGGCTCCGATGTTCCCCTCACTCTGGCCAGCACTGTCTAGGGGCACGTGCTGGCCGAGGCTCCCTGTGTCTCTTTCACAGGGGTCTCATCTGTGGTCTGAGGCTTCCATCCTCTTTGGCCACCTCCCCAGCATCCTTCACAGACAATGCACTGATAAATCTCCAGTCACGTCAGAACTTCCTTGGCACCTGCCTCTTGGAAGACCCTAATTAACACAAGTGGTGCAGGAGCGGCCTGAGACTCAGCTGGTGCGGTGGCCGTTCCCTGGCCAACACCTAGGACGCCATTCTGGTTGATGTGGGACATGGGTAGTCTTTGGCACAAAGTTAGGGCCCCAGTTGTTAAAGATTTCACCAAGAGTGACCTGGGAAGTTTTCCTGGTGGAAGGGAAGGCCTTGTGGGTGTGGCAGTGTCCCCCTTTCAATGCATGGGGGACGGTGTGGTTGGATGCTCCACAGAGGGATGAACGGAGACTGCAGTGTTACCCATGGTTGCCCATCAGGCTTGGTGTGAGAACAGAGGGCCTCTCTGGCTGCTGAAAAGGAGTCCCATGTCCAGCAGAGGTAGAACTGGTGTGGCTGAGGAGCCGACAGGGACTGTGGGGAGCACCTGGCTCTAGGCATGTTTTGATGCCTGGCCTATGTGAAGACCAGCCTATGATGCTGGTCTATGTGAAGGTCGGGACCCTGGCTGGGAAAACCTGGGACCCTGAAACATGGGCTGGACATCCAGGTGGAAGCCCGGAGGGCGTGGCCCTGAAGACCCCCGTCCCCTCAGAGCTTCAGAGCCGACTCCTGCCTGGCTCCCTCAGCCCCCGTCCCCTCAGAGCTTCAAGGGACCCTCCTGCCCGTGGCCCTGCAGGCCCCCGGTCCCTCAGACGCATTCAAGAGTGGAGCCTCCTCCTCCTGCCGTGTCTCAATCTGCAGGTCCCCCCGTCCCCTCCAAGAGCTTGCAGAGGGACCCCTCCTGCCCTTGGAAGCCAGTACTTCCTCTGTGCTGGAAGATGCTCCAGGGGCCTCCCCGACCAAAGCAGCAGGTGTCCTCACTGGGGGCTGCCCCACCTTGTCTCTTGGCTGCCAGCAGTGACTAGGGAGAAAGTCCAGGGTAACCTGGATGGGGACCTGCTGGGCCTGGTCAGGAAGAAGAGAGGTTGCATGTCCAGGAGCTGCACGAGGCAGCCAGGACGTGCCTGCAGGAGCCAGGGAGCAGCCCCAGTATTAGATTTCCAGGGTGCTTTATCCAGGGGGACAGCAGAACTATTGAGGTGGAGGCACTTGCTTGGCACATAGGATTAATTACCTGGCAAAGTCTGCAGGTCGTGGGTCAAAGATGATTCTGGGATGGCTCCCAGAAGCCTGGAGAAGGCGATGGGTTGTGTTGAGCCAAGCTGCCCTGGCAGATGGCAGAGGAAGGAAGAAAGAGGCCGAGGGCAGGGACTCCAGTGAAACATCGTGGTTCCCTACTCCATTCCTGGACTTGAGCTAATTTCCTGTCTGGAACCATTGATTGCGGAGGTGGCCAGGTCACCAGAAGGAAGGACCAGGCAATACCTTGACAAGGATGTTCTGTAGAATCCTGCTGTCACTCAGGTGGCTGCACGCTGGGAGAATCCAGAGATTTTGAGGACAAATGGACACGGGATGTGAGTGGACCCTGATACTGGAGGCCCAGAGTGCCATTGTGGCCTCCCTCTTAGAGAAGGGGCTGACGGGGCCAGGTAATAAAAGGAATCCTGCCAAAGTGTGGGTCACAGTGAGACCCCTGGGCCAGAAGACCATCCAGTGGCCGCTTCCCTGCCCCCTCAGTACGTAATTATAATTAATGTACTTGGTGGCTGGAGTAGCCATATATTGGATCCCAGGCCTGTGTGGTAACAGACATCACAGTGCGGAAGCCCACAGGAAAGTCTTTGACACCATCCCCTTTCCATGGCCAAGAGAGTAAATCACAAACCACGTTGCATCCTGGGAGGATGGCACCACCATTAAAGGCCTCATGGAGGTGAGGGTGGCGGACTGTCATCTCTGTTTAATTCTCTGGCCTGGTCATTGCAAAGACTGATGGATCCTAGAAAGTGACTGTAGACCACTTAGCCTCAACCCGGTGGTAGCTCCAATTGCATCTGCTGTATCAGACGTATCATTGTAGCAGATTAATGAGGCCAGTGATTGGCCATTGCAGTCTTTGCTATTCCAATTAGAAAAGAGGAGCAGAAAGAGTTTGCATTTATACGGGAGGAACAGCAATTCTCATTCCCGGTTTAGTGGCAGGGCCATTCTAACTCTGTCCTCTGTCCTAATATTGCCTGAAAAGATTTGGGCACCTGAGCAGTCCACCGGACACCACGCTGATCCATTACAGTGACGACATTATGGGCAGGAGGAGGACGAGGAGGGTCATGTGCTAAATGAGACACGTTTGCATTTATGGGTGGGAGGTGAACTCTGAGGATTCAGGGACCTAACTTCATGGAAGTTTTTAGGGCACCAGTGATCAGGTTCATACCAGGACATCCTCTAAAGTAAAAGAGAAATTGCTACATCTTGCATCCACTACTTCAAAGGAGGAAGCACAGGGCCTGGCATGCCTTTTTGGGTTCTGAAGGCAACATATTTAAAGGAGGGAGCACTGCTCTGACCCATAGCTCAGCTGACGTGGAAGGTGCCAGCTTCGAGGGGGCCAGGAGCAGAAAATGACTGAGCAGCCCTGCCACCTGGGCCACGAGACCCGGCAGCCCCCATGGTGTTGGGGGTGTCAGGGTGGGAGCAGGCAAGTGTGGGGCACGGCAAGCTGTAGTGGGAGGGCCAGAGCCCCTGGGTGTGGGTGGAGGCCGTGCCACCTGTAGAGGAAGCTGCTCACCTTTAGAGAAATGCTTCCTGTGGCCCAAGCGGGTGGAGCAGCCCAGCCGGGCATCTCTGTGCACACCAGGACCTGGCTTCAGGATCAGGGGAGGCTGGGCACTTGCTTTGGGGCCTTGCCGGGACCTGACAATTTCCACCCTATTCTTCCCATGAAGGGGCCCCGATGATGGCTGCCATGTTGGGTTTCTGTTTGTCTCTGCAGGTGGCAATGACAGTAGTAGTCCCCTGGCAGCCGCACACGCCTCTCCAAGAACCCCAGCGTGCCACCTGCCAGAGCCTGCAGCTCCCATATCCCTCTTATGCCTCCAGCACAGCCCTGCCACCACTTGCAGAGGAAGCTGAGGCCAGAGCGCTGAAATAACCTGCCCAAGACTGCGCAGCTTGCTGGCGGAGGAGCAGAGCCTGCGGCACGGCCTCTGTGTTACACTGCGTGCCCCAAGGATGAGGACTGGCCTGGTGTCCTCTGCAGGGCAATGCCTGGCACAGAGCAGGCCCTGACTGGGGCTGCTGAGTCACTAAGTCCCTGCATGGGGCCCCAACTGATGCAGGCTCTGTGAGGTCCCAGGATTCTGTGGAGAGTCACAGGGGACCTAGGACCCTCAGAACTGTCCTCTGAATTCAAGCAGTAGTGACTCCTGTGCTTGGCAGGGAGGATGATCTGTGGGGTCTGTGGGCTTTGAACTCACACTACTGCAGCAAAGCCCAGAGGCCTCACTTTTTCATGAACCAGCACAGGCTCTCCTGAGAGCCCTGGAGGGAAGGCTGTGGCCTTACTGCCTCCTGGTGTGAGGAGGCTTCCCTCTCGTCTGTCCCACGAGGGCAGGGCTGACGTTCTAGCCTTGCCAGTGGGCTCTTGTCTGCTTCCCCTCATCACGCCCTTCTCCGCATGCTCATTTTCAGACTGAAGTTGGGTGATTGCTCCTTTTGTAAGAGTGCTGGGGTGCAGCAGGCTGTGGAGGGGCACTGAGGCAGCCCGGCCTCAACCAGGGTTCCCAGGACCTGAGGCCCCAGTCCGGACCCCAGCAGGCTGCAGGCTGCCCTGTGGACACCACACCTCAACAACACAAAGGGCCCTGCTGAGGTTGGCAGCCAGTGCGCAGGGCACCTCCAGGCCTGGCTCCTAATGAGGAAGCCAATGCCAAGGTCACATGACCGTGAGTTTTTGGGTCCGGTTTATGGAGAGATGGTGGGAGAGGAGCAGCATGGGTGGGTGGTTGTTCACGCTTAGGGGAATAACTGGGAGCTACAGTAACACACATGCATGCCATTAGAGAAGGGACTTTCTCTATCTGGGCTGTGGGTGTTCGCAGGCCTGGCCTGGAGGAGGAGGAAGCTGTGCTGTTCCTTTTCTGCCCACGTGTTCTCAGGCCGAGGCGGCCTTAAGTGGCTCCGTGTGGAAAAGCTCTCCATGGCTTTCTCACACTCTGGACACCATGTGGACCACTCAGGGCAGCGGGGGCGTTACTCTCGGGCTTGCAGCCTTTCACGGACATTTGAGAAGATGCCTCTGTAGTCAGACTTTCCTCTGCTTACTCATGGGGTTGACAGACAGAACTAATGTTCTCCCCGGCCGCAGCTGATCTCGACTCAGAAAAAAATGAAAAATGGCAAAACCTGCCTCTAATGGGCAATTGCACATGAGTCAGTTTGTGTCACGGGTGTGTGTTCAGAGCTGGCGGTAGATCCTCCGGCTTTTATTTTTTAAGCCGGAGTCACTGCATTATTCTCAATAATCTCACCAGGCTTTTGGGCTGCCAAGCACTTGTATTTTTGTCTTTTAGATTCACAATAACACAGGAGTGCTGGAGAATGCGGCATGGACCACAGTGTACAGTTTCAGTGGAAACCAGGACCAGAGGCAGTGTGCTCGAGGCTCAGATGGGGTGGGGACACCAGGTGGTAGGAAGGTTGGGAGACAAAGGCTGTGGATGAGAACCTCATCGATCCTGCACCCAGGAGGAGCCAGGGGAGGCTGCCCCGTCCCACAGAGAGGAGACGGAGGCTCCCAGAGGAGGACAGGTAGCAGGAAGAAAACCGTGGGTCTTTTCTCTCCCAGTCGGGGGTGGTGTGTTTCCCCTCCACTACCTGGGAGGTTGTCTAAACTACATGGGATTTGATTACAAATATTTCAAAATATTTATGCCTGAATAAAACCCTCTTCTTAACCAGCTGTGCGGTGCTAACTGAAGGGGCCACGTGAATGTCATGCAACTCAGTTCCCTGCTGGCACAGGAAGGCCACACTGACATACTTTAGTGGCTGGCACAACCTGTTTGTGACATGAGAATGTCAGGTAAGCACAGCACAGAGCTTCTCACTGCGGGTCCAACCCAGAGTGTAGTGCCACAACTCCCCAAAGTCTGAACAAAACTCTATTTTCCTGGGAAGAGGGCCCAGAGATTTAATTGGAAAAAGGTACACATAACTCCAAAGGTAATGCGTAGTTTCAAAGAACTGGAACACAACAAAACACACAAAATCCACATTAAGGAAAGTTCAGTTTTTCTCTGATGACTTAGGGGGTCCAGATTTGACACTGCCACCAATAATCCCATGATCATCTCCACCACCATCACTACTACCACCATCATCACCACCAAGCAACTCACAACTAATCTGTTAAATAAAGATGAAATCACCTAACCCACGTACACCTTAAAGACGCAGATAAAACCATCACCAAAACCACACTCTACCATCACCATCACCTACCAAATAAGTACGTTTGCCGTAATCTGTTTGTTTAGCAGACGATCACTAAGGTCCGGTCTGCACTCAGGCAGAGGGGATTTATACAAGGTCAGGAATACCAGAGCAGCGATTTGCTGGAGCTATTAATTAGAACAGCCTAGTGTGGTGTCTGTTAGCCAGATACATTTCCTCAGTTTTAATGTTGTCTCCACAGCCTTTAAGTTTATCATCCCTACATCACGGTTATTGGAAGAGCGTAATCTAACATTCATAAAACAGAAAATCACAGACATTTAGTTATTTTCTTTATGATACTCATGAAAGATAGACATTTTCTTATCTTCGTGGCTTTCAAATTTGTGGGAAAAAACTCATGCCTTCGTAAATGTTCTCTTTAAAGAAAGTGTGCTTTTTCTAGTTCTAGATCCTGAGGAAATCGGCCATACTGTTGTTCCATAAATGGTTGAACCCTAGTTTACAATCCTCCACCAACAGTGTAAAGAGTGTTCTATTTCTCCACATCCTCTCCAGCACCTTGTTGTTTCCTGACTTTTTAATGGCATTGCATTGGGAGTTATACCCTGATGTATTTGAGATGACGAGTTTGATGGGTGCTGC